TACTGTACATGAATATCTGTATTGTCCATCATGTGGTGAAACAACATTACACATAAGGGGAACTGTCACATGTCACATGTCACATGTGACATGTCAGGTGTCGGGTTTCATCACTCACACTGAACTCTGTGACCACGATGTCGACCACGCTGCCGACCACGATAAGAGCATCGAATGAGTTCCAGGCGTCTATGAAATAATGCTGTGAAAGAGAGAAAGTTCCGTTCAGCGACAGGAAGTGGAAACATGACGAGGACGTTACTCTGCAGGTGTGTTTGATTTTCTCACCCTGAGTCTGAGGGCGAGCAGCTTCAGCAGCATCTCCACAGTGAAGAGTCCAGTGAACACCATGTTCAGGATGTCCATGATGTGGCTGAACGTTTTGGACTGTTCATAGTGCTGAACAACACAGACGCACAATCAATGACACACTTCAGCACACAACACCCCACAGACCGCCGCAGAGGCAGGAGGGGCGGCGTGACTCACCTGAACAGCCAGCGTGACGGTGTTGAGCAGGATGAGGACGAACATCACATACTCAAACCCTGTGGAGTTGATGATCGACCAGAATTTATACTGGACAGGATTCTTCGGGATGTAGAGTTTGAGAGGCTGAGCCTTTAGAGCGTATTCCACACACTGACGCTGCGGTGACAGACACAGACAGTTACCTACAGTTAAGGAACGGATGTCATTTAACTTCCTTCAGCTAAATTCTAACGAAACAGAAATAATAATCATGATCAGCCAGCAGGCAAATTACTACCATTTCTCTGTCCCCCGGCCACCAATATAAAAACAAGTTAAAAGTCACATTCGATTCCCAACAGAATTTTAATTCATCAAATTAAATGTCAGAAACACCCGATGACGCCATCGTCCAACTGGAGATTATTATTTTCATTACAACAACCAGTCTGACGGAGCTTTAATATAATGTTACGCAACTGTTCCTGGTCTACCTCTCCCCCTCCCCCCTTGCTCTCTCTCTTCTCTCCCTTCTTTGCCACCCACCTCTTCTCCCCTCACACCAACCAGTCATGTGAGCCACACTGAGTCTGGTTCTAAAGAGGGAGGTCTTTCTCTCTACAGACCTGCTCATTGTGGGAACTGATCTGTGACTGGTCTCGACTTTAATATGTTATGATTTGGTTCTTAAACTTGAACTGAACTGAATGAAATACCTTGAATTTTGTGCAGCACTTAGTAACTTTGTTTAGATAAATTCTATAAAGTATATATATATAAAGTTGTTACAGTTCCAGTCAGAGAGGCAGGTGAGTTTACCTGGTTCTTGTCGAGCTCACAGTTCTTGTACTCCTGCTCTCCCTGCTCTCTGAACGTGATGATGACGAAACCTACGAAGATGTTCATCATGAAGAAGGCGATGATGATGATGTAGACGATGAAGAAGATGGAGATCTCCACTCGGTAGTTATAGATGGGACCAGAGTTCTCCCCGTTAGCATCGATGGCCTTGTACAGCAGTCTGCAGAGGGGTGGGCGGGGGTTAATATGTGTCGGTCACTACAAACACTGGTGACAATAAAGTTATTTTGAAGAAGCACTCACGCTGGCCAGCCCTCGAAGGTGGAGACGGTGAAGAGCGCCATCATCCCCATTAACACGTTATCGAAGTTGAAGTCACTGTTATGCCACAGACGCACTCGGACCATCGGGTGACTCACGTCTCCGTCTTTATACACAACAAACGTCCCTCTGACACACACACGCACACACATAGAAACACACACGTTACATGTCGGCACTTCAGACTGAAGTCGGTTTCACCCGTGTAGAATCTACCTACTTGCACTGATCAGGTGTGTGTTTGGCTTCGTCCGTACAGCGATAAAATTTACCCTGAAACAAAGACAGGAAACGTGTGACTCATTTCACCAATCAGAGATCTGTCGGTCACCTGATCTGTAACTGATGAGGTCACAGAGTCTGAGTGAGAGCAAACAAAGATGGACGATGTGTGTCCACTTCCCCTTGTTTAAACATGAAGCCAAAATATCTTGGAAAAGAACGCTGCCATCTTGTAGTGAGGACATCATCTGAAGTTTTGCTCGATTCTCATAAGTTTGGTCCATTTCCCATTTTTTAACATGGTGGACGTTGGGTTTATGACCTATACCACAGCCAGCCACCAGGTGGTGAATGAGACACTTTGGCTTCACTTTTGGGAGCCGTCATGTCGTCCATCTTTATTTTCAGTCTATGGTTGAGTGTAAACACCAGAGAAACGTGAACAACCTTGAAGAGCTGAACTCCGATGCAGGCGAACATGAACTGAAGCAGAGTCGTGACGATCATGATGTTTCCGATCGTCCTGATGGCCACAAACACACACTGGACCACGTGCTATAACACACACACACACACACACACACACA